TGATGTGTGTGCTGTGTGTGTTGTGTCTGTTGTGTGTTGTGTGTGCTGTGTGTTGTGTTTATTGCGTGTTGTAGGTCGTGTGTGTTGTGTGATGTGTGTTATGTGTGTTGTGTGTTGTGTGTCCTGTGTGTTGTGTGTGTTGTGTGATGTGTGTGTTGTGTTGTGTGTCGTGTGTGATGTGTGTGTTGTGTGTGTGTGTTGTGTGTGTTGTGTGTTGTGTGTTGTGTGTGTTGTGTGGTGTTGTGGGTGTTGTGGGTGTTGTGTGTTGTGTTTTGTGTGCTTTGTGTGTTGTGTGTGATGTGTGCGTTGTATGTGTTGTGTGCGGTGCGTGTTGTGTGATGTGTGTGTTGTGTTGTGTGAGTTGTGTGTGTATTGTGTGTTGTGTGTTGTGGGATGTGTGTGGTGTTTGCATTGTGTGAATGGTGTTGTGTCTGTTGTGCGTTGTGTGTTGCGTGTGTTGTATGTGTGGCGTGTGTGGTGCGTGTTGTGTGTTGTGTGTGTTGTGTGTTGTGTGTTGTGTGTGTTGTGCGTGTTGGGTGTTTTGTGAGTGTTGTGTGTGCTGTGTGTGTTGTGTTGTGTGTGTTGTGAATGTTGTGTGTTGTGTGTGTTCTATGTGATGTGTGTGACGTTGTGTGTGGTGTGTGTTGTCTGTGTTGTGTGTGTTTTGTGTGTGGTGTGGTGTGTGTTTTGTGTGTTGTGTGTGTGTGTCGGGTGTGTTGTGGGTTGTGTGTTCTGTGTGTTGTGTGTTGTGTGTTGTGTGATGTGTTGTGTTGTGTGTTGTGTGTTGTGTGTGTGTTGTGTATTGTGTGCTGTGTGTGTTGTTTTGTGTGGTGTGTTGTGTTGTGTGTGTTGTGAATGTTGTGTGTTGTGTGTGTTGTGTGTGTTGTGTGTTGTGTGTTGTGTGTTGTGTGTGCTGTGTGTTGTGGTTGATGTGTGTCTTATGTCGTGTGTGTTGTGTGCGTGTCTTGTATGTGTTGTGCGTTGTGTGTGCTATGTGTTGTGTGTGTTGTGTGTTGCGTGTGTGTATTGTGCGTGTGTGTTGTGTGTTGTAATTGTGTTGTGTGTGTGTTGTGTGTGCTGTGAGTTGTGTGTGCTGTGTGTTGTGTGCATTGTGTGTTGTGTGTGGTGAGTGTTGTGTGTGTTGTGTGTTGTTGTGTGTGTTGTGTGATGTGTTTTGCTCCCCAATCAGAGCTTGCCTCGGTAGGGGTCCTAGCGGAGTCAGATCGTTATGTTAGGTGCGACACCGATTTCGGCGGCACGCCCGGGTGCCCGGGTGCCCGGGTGCGCCTCCGAGTTCTGCGGGTGCGCGGGTGCCCGGGTGCCCATGTAGGTGTCCGGTGCCCGGGTGCCCGGGTGCCCGGGTTCTGGGGTGCCCAGGTGCCCGGGTGCCCGGCCGGGTGCACGGTAGCCCTATAGCCCTATAGAGCCCTATAGCCCTATAGCCCTATTGTCCTATAACCCATATAGCCCTACAGCCCTATAGTAGCCTATAGCACTATAGCCCTAAAGTCCTAATAGCCCCATAGGCCTATAGCCAAATAGCGCCCTATCGCCCTAAAGCCTTATAGCCTTATACCCTATAGCCCTATCTATAACCGCATAGCCCTATAGCTATATAGCCCCATAGACCTATAGCCCTACAGCCCATTAGCCCTAATAGCCCTATAGCCCTACAGCCATATAGCCCAAGTAGCCCTATAGCTAGCCATATAGCCCTAATAGCCCAATAGCCCTATAGCCTTATAGCCTTATAACCCTACAGCCGTCTAGCCCTATAGTCCTATAGCCATACAGCCCTATAGCCCTAATAGCCCTATAGCCCTATAGCCCTAAAGCCTTATAGCCATGTAGCCCTAATAGTCCTATAGCCCCAGAGCCCTATAGCCTGATACCCTATAGCCCTATAGCCCCATAGCCCGCTAGCCTTACAGAGATTATGATTGGGCATGATCTCCGGTATCATGTGTTTTCTGTGTTGTTTGTGTTGTGTGTATTGTGCGTTGTGTGTATTGTGTGTTGTGTTTGTTGTGTGTGTGTGTTATGTGCGGTGTGTGTGTGTGTGAATTGTGTGTTGTGTGTGTTGTGTGTTCTATGCGTGTTGTGTTGTGTGAGTTGTGTGTGCGTTGTGTGTGCTGTGTATTGTGAGTGTTGTGTGTGTTGTGTGTTGTGTTGTGTGTGTTGTGTGTTGTGTGTGCTGTGTGTATTGTGTGTTGTGTGTGTTGTGTGTTGTGTGTGAGTGTTGTGTGTTGTGTGTGTGTTGTGTGTTGTCTGTGTGTTGTTTTGTGTGTTGTGTGTTGTGTGTTGTGTGTATTGTGTGTAGTGTGTCTTGTGTGTGAATCATGTGTTGTGTGAGCTGCGTGTGTTGTGTGTGCGTGTGTTGTGTGTTGTCTGTGTGTTGTGTGTGCGTTGTGTGTGATGTGTGTTGTGCGTGTTGTGTGTTGTGTGTTGTGTGTCGTGTGTGTTGTGTGTGATGTGTGTTGTGTGTTGTGTTGTGTGCGTGTTGTGTGTTATGTGTGTTGTGTTGTGTGTTGTGTATGCGTGTTGAGTGCGTGTGTTGTGTTGTGAGTGATTCGTGTTGGGTGTTGTGTGTGTTGGATTGTGTGTGTTGTGATGCGTGTGTGTTGTGTGCTGTGTGCGTGTTGTGTGTGGTGTGTGTTGTATTGTGCGTGTTGTGTGTTGTGTGTTGTATGTGTTGTGTGCTGTGTGCTGTGTGTGCTGTGTGCGTGGTGTGTGTGATGTGTTGTGTTTGTTTTGTGTGTTGTGTGTTGTGTGTTGCGTGTTGCGTGTGTTGTGTGTTGTGCGTGTTGTGCGGTATGTGTTGTGTGATGTGTGTGATGTGTGTTGTGTGTTGTATGTTGTGTAATGTGTGCGTGTTGTGTGTTATGTGTGTTGTGTTGTGTGTTGTGTATGCGTGTTGAGTGTGTGCTGTGTTGTGAGTGGTGTGTGTGTGTTGTGTGTTGTGTGTTGGGATGTCTGTGTTGTGTGTTGTGTGTTGCGTATGTTGTGTGTGTTGTGTGTGGTGCATTGTGCGTGTTGTGTATTGTGTGTTGTATGTGTTGTGTGTTGTGTGTGTTGTGAATGTGTGTGCTGTGTACGTGTTGTGTGTGATATGTTGTGTGAGTTGTGTGTTGTGTGTGCTGTGTGTTGTGTGTTGTGCTGTGTGTTTCGTGTTGTGATGCGTGTGTGCTGTGTGCTGTGCGTGTTGTGTGCGATATGTTGTGTGAGGTGTGTGTTGTGTATGTGTGTGTTGTGTGTGCTGTGTGTTGTGTGTTGTGTGTGTTGTGTGCTGTTTGTTGTGTTGTGTTGTGTGATGTGTGTATGCGTTGAGTTGTGTGTGTGTTGTGTGTTGTGTGTTGTGTGTTCTGTGATGTGTGTGTGTGTGTTGTGTGTATGTGCTGTGTGTTGTGTGTCGTCTGTGTTGTGTGTGTTCTGTGTAATGTGTGCGTTGTGCGTATGTTGGTTGGTGTGTGTTGTGTGTGGTGTGTGTGTCTGTGTTGTGCGTTGTGTGTATTGTGTGTTGTGTGTGTTGTGTGTTGCGTGTTCTGTGTGTGTGTTGTTTGTGTGTGGTGTGTAGGCGGTGTGTAAGTTGCATGTGCTGTGTTGTGTGTTGTGTGTGTTGTGTGTGCTGTGTGTTGTGTGTTCTGTGTCTTCTGTGTTGTGAGGATGCTGTGTGTTGTGTGTTGTGTGTTATGTGTATTGTGTCTGTTATGTGTGTGTGTTGTGTGTTGTGTGTGTGTTGTGTGTTGTGTTTTCGTGTGTTGTGCTGTGTGTTTTGTGTGTCGTGTGTGCGGTGTGTTGTGTGAGCTGTGTGTTGTGTGTTGTGTGTGTTGTGTGTCCTGTGTGCTGTGTGTGCTGCCTGTGTTGTGTGTTGTGTGTTGTGTGTTGTGTGTGCGTGTGTTGTGTTGTGTGTTGTGTGTGTTGTGTGCTGTGTGTGTTGCGTTGCGTGTTGTGAGTGCTGTGTGTTGTGGGTGTGTTGTTGTGTGTGTTGTGTGTGTGTGTGTCTTGTGTGCTGTGTGTGTTGTGTGTGTTGTATTGTGTGTTGTGTGCGGTGTGTGCGTGTTGTGTGTGTTGTTGTCTGTGTGTTGTATGTGTTGCGTGTTGTGTATTGTTGTTTGTTTGTTTGTGTTGTGCGTGCTGTGTGCATTGTGGGTGTTGTCTGTTGTGTTGTGTGTTGTGTGTTGTGTTGTGTGTTGTGTGTTGTGTGTTGTGTGCGGCCTGGCACATGCGCGCTGCCCCACGCCCAACCTTAGTCCGCCGCGTCGCCGCGCGCGTGGCCGCGACGCCAAACAAGTGCGTGTGTGTGTATGTTGCTCGTGTCGTGGGGGACCCCCCAGGGCCGTTTGGCGTTGAAGTGGTGATTTTGCGACAGCGGCATTGCAAGATGCGTCGCTCTCACTTTGTTCGCAGACGTACGCACTGACACTCGCCATTGACGTCTTAGGGACTCACTTCCTCAAGCCCATGGATGTGCTTCTGCTGCCAAGGAGCCCGCCGTTTCTGCTGCGCCCTCATCGGCTCCATCTTCCCCGCCTCGGACTTCGCCTTGCTCGCGATAAGCGCGGTGCTGAAGGAGTGTGCGGGTGTGGTGTCGGCCACCCTCGCTTTTTGCGACTGCCTTCACTCACCCACTCCTCCCAGACCCCCGACGTCATGATCTTTTCGTGACGCGACCCCCAGAGGTCCAGACCCGTTCCCCAGGACCCGTTTCTCATCCTAAGTCGTTTTGTTGACGGTCCCGAGGTCCAGTAAGGGCCCCCAAAGGGCGAAGATAGCGAAAACCTCCCGTCGCGCTTTTTTCTTGACTCGAGGGGGTCTGGGCTTGCCCCCGCCCCTCTTCTCTTTTTTTTCCCGGCAGCGCCCGCGGACGCGAGGGTCGGGACCGGGGGGTGCGCGCCAGGCGCGGCGCGCGCGGAGAGAGCGGGAAAGCAGAGGGCGATGGCGTGTTTTTTGTTCTTCTTCGATGTGGGGCGCGAACGGCAACGCCCCGCCCGTCACCAGGCCTTCTCGTAGATCGGTGTGCCCTTCTTGACCGCCGCGAAGCCCTGGATGCCGAGCTCCTCCCTTGCCCGCTTGACCTCGGCCGCCGCCCCCCTGCCGGAGCCCGCCTTTTCCCTCGCGCCGCGACGGGGAGGAGGAGGGGAGGAGAGTGGGGCCCAGAGGAAGCAGAGGGGATAGGGGTGGGGAGCGCCGAGGAGGAGGAAGAGGAGGAGGAAGAGGAGGAAGGAGGAGGAGGAGGAGGAGGCCAGCCTCGGGGCTGGGAGCGCCGATGAGGAGGGGGACGGGTAGACGGGGATCGCAGGGGATGGGGCCAAGAGGCAGCAGAGGGGATGGGGTGGGGAGCGCAGGGAGAGGGGCAGAGGAGCAGGAGGGGAGTGGACTGGACTCCCACACGCCCCCTTCCCGTCTCCCCCTGCCCCCTCTCCCCCTGCCTCCTGCCCTCCCCCCTGTCCCTCCCCCCGTCCCCCTGCCTCCTCCCCGTCACACCGCCCCGCCTCCGTGCCCGCCCTGCCCCCTGCCCGCTGCCCCTCCGGCGCGAGCGCCTGCGGGTCGGCCCGTGCAGCGGGGCGCCAGACGAAGACGGCGCGTGCGGGGCCCCGCGCGCCCGCCTCCAAGCGACGCAGGGTGCCGCAGGGAGGCGGGCCGCGCCCGCGGCGACTCCTTCGCAGCACAGATGAGACAACCGCCTGGCGCCTCCGACGGGCACTGGAAGGCCTGTGGAGGACGCTCCCGCGGTCAAGAACGGGACAGGCGGCTTCAGCGCCTCCCTGGCGAAACTGCCCCGCAGGCCCCCCGCTGGCGATGCCTTTCTCATGAGCCCCCCACTTTGGATTCCCCTCTCGTGGGCCCCCCCTGTCGGGATCCCTTCTCGTGGGCCTCGCAATTGGGCTTCGTTCTCCTGGACCCCCCAATCGGGACTCCTTCTCATCGGCCGTCCAATTGGGATTCTTTCTCAAGCCCACCCTAAATGGGGATTTGTTGCTTCTTTGCCACGGGCCCTCCAACTGGGATTCCTTCTCGTCAGGCACCCCAGCTGGTGTCCTTCTCGCGGGACTCCCGAGGCCACCGTCCAGACTCCTGCTCGTGTGCCCCGCAACTGGGAGTCCTTCCCGATGATGATGGTGATGTTGATGATGATGCGGGTGACGATGATGATGCTGACGACGATGATGATGACGACGATGATGATAATCATCATGCAGATGATGATGATGATGATGATGATGATGATGATGATGATGATGATGATGATGATGATGATGCTGAAGCTGATGATGATGATAATGATGATGATGATGATGATGCTGATGGTGGCGATGATGGTGTTGCTGATGCTGATGTTGCTGCTGATGATGATGACGACGATGACGATGATGGTGATTATGATGCTGGTGATTCCGATGATGATGACTATGATGGTGATGGTGATGCTGATGATGATGCCGTGATGCTGACAATGATGATGCTGGTGATGCTGATGATGATGATACTGATACTGGTGATGGTGATGATGGTGCTGATGCTGATTCTGATGATGATAATAATGATGATGGCGATGATGATTCCGACGATGAGGAGGATGATTATGAACATGTTGACGATGATGATACTGCTGATGCTGGTGACGATGATGATGCTGACGACGACAATGATGATGATGATGATGATGATGATGATGATGATGATGATGATAATGGTGATGCCCATGATTATGTAAAATCTTGAGATGATCTTTGTGACGATGACGTTCACGATGCCGATGATGATGCTGATAATGATGATGACGATGATGCTGACGTTAATGATGATGCTACTGATGCTGAAGCTGGTGCTGCTGTTGACGTTGATGATAATGATGACGATGACGATGACGATGACGATGACGAACGTGCGAATTATGATGACGATGATGCTGATGATGATGATGATGATGATGATGATGTTAATGTTGATGCTGATGATGACGATTACGATGATGATGACGATGGCGATGACAATAACGATGACGATGACGATGATGATGATACTGATACCGATAATGATAATGATGACGATGATAATTATGGTTATGATGATGATGATGATGAATTTGATGATGATGATGATGATGATTATGATGATGATGATGATGATGATGATGATGATGGTGATGATGATGATGATGATGTTGATGCTGGTGGTGATGGTTATTGTTTACAGATTCGGGGCTCAGGGGGAAATTGGGATTTCAGTGCCGGAGCCCTCTGCCCGCTCGGAGGCGGAATGTGCCGCTGTCCAGCACGTGCAGTGCTGGACTGCTGCGCGTGTCTGCGCAGCGTGACAAAAAGAAAGGCGGTCGGCCCGGCCAGCTCCTGACTCGCTTGCATAGCTCTCTGGAGCCGACGCTTGCGCCCCGCAACTGGGAGTCCTTCTCACGAGGCGCATCTGCGCCACCTCCGCGTGAGACCCCCGCCGGCGCGCGCCGTGCGCACCTCTGCCGCGGAGCTAGGCCCCCCGTCATCGCGGAGCGAGACCTCGGCGGATGCGACGCACGACGACTCCACCCTTTGACGGGGACCGAGTGGGGTTGGAGGTTCAGGGACAAGGGCTGGGGGGCCCGGCATGTAGGGGAAACATCGACCTGGAATCGGCGATACATCACATCACCGATAGATCGGCGATAGACTCCCGAAAGCTAATCCCCACCTTCCTGGGCGGGTTGGGGCTATCGGGCCCTTATCGACGATGAGTGGACGATTGGCGGTCCATGCATCCTCCCTATGCCGCCCCCCCATCATCGCCCCTATTGTTAGAGGAGGGGACGGATTTCCCCCTCCCCCCCATGCGCAAGCGAGGCAGATGTTGGGCTACATGCGACAGAACACATCGCCGGATATGCACGATCAGGACTGCCCTCATCTCCGACGGTGCCTCCCAAGGGCCCACGAAAGTGGCGACAGTTGCAAAGGTCGCAATGCCCAGGGAGCAGCAAGGTCTCGGGTACTCCCCTACTCCGCCGTGCCTCCCAGGAGCCCACGAAGGTGGCGACAGTCGCACCGCTCGCGGCCGCCAATGAAGCTGCAAGGCCTCGGGTACTCCGCTACTCCGCCCGGGAGCCCACAGAAGTGGCGAGAGTTGCAAATTGTGCAGCCACCCAAGGAGTAGCGAGATCTTGGGTACTCCGCTATTCCGCCGTTCCTCCCAGGAGACCACGAAAGTGGCGACGGTGTCACAGTTCGCAGCCACACAGGGAGCTGCGAGGTCTCGGGTGCTCCGCTACTCCGCCGTGCCTCCCAGGAGCCCGCGAAAGTGCGCAGGACGCAGGAGGCAGGAGAAAGAGGAGGAGAAGACGAAGGTGTGCGACCACAGTGCTCTATTCAAAACGAGAACCCAACACACAGGAGGGCTGGGAACAGAAAACTCCATTTACTTTGTGAGCGCCTGGGAGCGCCTGAGAACGCCCGGGAAAGGCTGGGAGCTCCTGGGAGCGCCGGGAATACCCCAGATTGCCTGGGGGCACCTGACAAGATATGTGGTGCAAGCTAAGTGGTGCAAGCCACGTTTTGCAATAGATGTGGCGCAAAATATGTGGTGCAATATAGGCCCTGTGGGCCTTGTGTAGGGCCCTCTTGGCGTGTCCGAGCTCATTTGGGGGGCCGCCCGGAGCCCTCTGGGGCGATTTTGGACGCCTCTTGGGCCGTCTTGGCACCCTCTTGGGGTGTCTTGTGATGGGCGTGTTCTCCACCACCACCAGAAGT